GAAGCGGAGAGGTCTTGTTCAAGATTTCTAAAAAATTGCTGTCGTGTCAATCATTTGGAAGTCGTAAATTGCATCGTGGTTGGAGAACCTGATGCTCAATGCTAGCGCTCGAGCCTCATCGCTGCATGGCAAGCGGACAAAAGACCCGTTTTTCTCGAACATGTGAGTTTCTCGAAACGCGGCACAACTTGTTCACGAATAGCAAAGTCTCAAACAGCCACATGGATCTGCTCACGAATGAGCGTCTTGCGATCGCCGACTTGCTGGCTCATGATGCAAAGGGAATCCACTGCACGAGGTTCGCCGCTGTCAACGAACGGAACGGCCGACGGTCCATGTGAAACCTAGTATTCGACGCACGGTCAGGTAAATCCATCGTAATGATGACGGATCCATTATGACCAATCTTGAGCCACCAGAATATAAGAAAGCTCGACGGACACTTAAAGAGGTTCAGTCCAGTCTACTCCAGGAGCACTCATATACTTAAACCTCAACACAAACCACCTCAATTTTACTCTTGTTCAGGGGAGACCATCATCGTCAACATGCTATTTAGTAAGCTGATACACTCATTGGTCACCATCATGCCTTCTAACGTAGACTCAGTATCCTACCTCATTCCCATCCTCGCCCTTTTCACCTCTCCTCTTCTCACGGTCCCCGTTCCTCAGGTGCCAGGTACGGCCGGTCTCAGCGACGCCGACTGGTTGGGCATCATCGATAGATGTACGTCCTCTTTCCCTCCCCTTGCCCCCTCACCCTTCCCCCGGCCCCTCTCCTACCCCCTCACTCTTTTCCTCACCAATCCATTGCATAAGCCACGTCTAGCGCCCTTTCTACTGTCCACTCCGTCTCCGCTCCATCTGCGCTCCACGTAGCATTTTACATCACCAGCTTCCCCAGTATTGCAGGGATACAAGCTAACTTACATCGATATCCAGTCCCCGGTGAATTCCCTGCAGTCCAAGTAGACCATCCCGACGGATCGATAGGTCTTGGAAGGCCGATAGGCAGGAAGATGGACGAGGGTTCGTCGATTAATGGCACGGCTGAGGAGATTGCTGCCGAGCAGGGAGGTCCGTAGTCGTTGAAATTGGAGTTGAGGAGGCATCTGTGGGGGGGTGGGGAGAGGGAAGCGGCGAGCTCGAGGATGGAATTGTGGGATAAGAGCTGGTCTTTGACTACAGCTTCGGTAATCCTTTCTTTTGAGAGGAAATGGTCGCTTTTGAGAAACTCAACCAGTCGCCCTTTGTTGTCTCGACATATTCAAGGTCTTGATAAGCTAAAAGCGATCGGGTGTTCGGCTGGCCGTACCCCAAATCTGGCGACAGAATATCGACTACAGCTCGTGGAATACATTGTGTAATTATTAATTTAATACTGGCTAGCACTAGCAAGGAGAATCTGCCTTGCCAGCGTGCCGTTCAGATCTCCGGCTGATTTCATCGTAGAAAGTGCGGTATATCGTAGGGGAGTCGTGCCGGCAAGAAATACAAATCTGAAGGACTGCTGAGATGTGCCCCATATCCCGCGGCTGAACGAGCTAGTCTCCTAAAACAGAGAGTATGTTTCATACTCACCACGAGGCTCTTGGTTGAAACGTCAAACTTGAAACTGGAACTGGGTCTATCTAAAAATAGATCATTCAATTAGGTCGACAGACTGATACTGTCTGCTTTACTACCCCGCGTTTCACGAGTTATTGCCAACGCTGTAACTCGATTGTCGCACGACGCCTGGGATCTGTTACGTACTACAACGAAAGGCTTTGAGTCTGGATTTTAGACCCCAGGAAGTTTGGTTTCAACTCGTGTCCCAAGGTGATCTGGGGGAAACGATTGTAATCTGCGAGTCCTGTCCATATACGAAAAGGTGAATTTCCGAACACATTCCTTTCGTTGCGACCAGCAAGAGGAATTGGCCTAGTTTTCTTTTCACTTCCGAGGACTTTAATCGATGTTGATCATTGCTTGAACCCTATTTGCTGCAGAACGAGGACCCAGGAGACTGCAATTTCGCCTTTCTACGTCAGAGTTGGTAGTATCTCAGTCTGAAACACCGTTCCTGCTCACAGAAGTGCCCTATGAAAATGCCTTTCCCGGTCTTCAGGCGGCGTGGCCAGCGTAAGGAACAGATTTGCTGGTTTGAGGTATTGAGATCAAATTAGTTTGGAGACAAATGTTTACCAAGATCAAAGGTGGACAACTTCAATCTCATCCTGTTTCCTTTAATACATTGGCATTTGTCAAGAGAATCAGTAGACTTGAAAAACTGGATGAATTTTTAGTTGAGACATTCAGACTGCTAGAAGTCTAACATGAGCTGAGGGAAGATTATTAGACTGTCAATGCCAAAGTAAGGGTCTATTTTGGGCTTCAGGCTGGACCGTTCAAACCGTTGCCTACGCTGGAAGGGGCTCATAGTTAGCAGAAAGCCTCGCGCAACCGAGACGGCACGGCCGACCATCAAGATTGCAGCCGCACTATCGGAAGACTCCACTTCAATGACGGAGAAAGACCCTTTCAATAAGCTTGGTATTGACCTTCCAGAATACATGTATAAGAGATGTGTGGACGTCTAATGGACCTCCCTCTTATACAACCCTGACATCAACACGATCGAATACGCACGATCACACTACACACTACACTCAAAGCCATGCTATTTAGTACGTAACCCGCACATCATCCACCACCAAACAAAGTTCTAACCCCATGTCCCCTCAGCAACGGTCTTCAACTCCATCCCCCTCCTCGCCCTCCTCATCCCTTCCCTCCTCGCACTCCCCGCCCCCGTTCCCGTTTCTCAGGCTCCAGGCTCCGGCGGCCTCAGCGACTGGGAGTGGGCGGAGATCCAGAATAACCGTATGTGTAGCCCTTCCTTCCCCCCCCCCCCTCCTCCCTCCCCCCTTCTCATCTGTCCCTTTCAACGACCCCTCTCCCCCCTTCCATCCCTATCCATCCATTTTTCACCACGAAATTTTCCAAGTGACTGACTCACTAGAAAGATCCTGAATGGTTTCCAACCCGCCAAGTAACCAACCCCGATGGAAGTATCGCGCTCGCAGTACCGGCGGGCAGGCGGTTGGATGAGACGACAGGTCAGACTTATTGAAGGAGGGTGGTGGAAGGGCGGGGGCGGGGGCGGGGGCGGGAGTGGTGGGAGTGGTGGGGGACTGTGGATTTGTGTGATCGGAATTTGAGGGGCGTGAGGGATTGGTGTTAAGATAAAGGGGGGAAAGGGGGAGGGGGGTTGTGTGACAAGAGCTGGTCTCGGTCCAGAGTTGTGCTAAATCGGTTTTCAGAGGAGTGGTTGTTATTGCGATTTTGGTGGCGATTATTCTATGCCTGAAAATATAGTGATGTCTCGCACGTCAGTCGTTGACGAGAGGCTGTTGTTGCCCGGATTCCTTAGAAGTCTTTGATAGCGGTTGAAAAGGTGCATCCCGGTTCATAATATTGATGCCTCCGGTGATCGACAAGATCGTTGGTCCTGTCGTTACTGACAGATTTGTGTCATTAGAATGTCAGAGCATGGGTAGCTAAAAACACAAACAGCAGCGTTGTCAATCTTCACTGGTGACCACGACATAAGAGTAGCTCATCTCTCGTGCTCCTTTCAGAGTCTTGTGAACATGATACCAAGAGGTTAGGCCTTGCATGTGTCCGGAAGTAAGAGGATCTAGGCGTCGCCAGTAGTTGATACATAAAGTCGAAGTCATCCCCAGGGATGTTCTGGCTCACAGATAGGAGGGGCACTAGGGGGCATTATTCACCCTGCTTCAAAAAACGAGGCGTGATCTGCGGACTTTAAGGCTGTTCACGGCAATCTCCTGGTCGGCATGCGCTAAAGACATGAATCGTACTAATTAAGGCCCTTGGGTCTGAAGGCATTGCTGATCTTTCACAGATCACCTGAAATCTTAATCTGTTGAACCATCTCATAAGGGGTTCGTAATTCCCAGGCCAAATGTCTCAGCTTTGTTGGCAAGAGTGCTCCTAGTCTCTTGCAACTTGATGCTATGTGTTTAGTTTGCCAAGCTCTGATACGGTATGTATGTAGCCTTCGAGGGGTTGCTGCGAAGCTCCATCTTGAGGACTGGATCCATGAGGTCGTTGAGCTGCACTTGTTGAATCCTTTCCGCTGTATTTGAGTTCCAGAACTGAATTAAGTATAACTGATTTTACACAGTCGAGCCGTCCGAAATTTCTTACCTGGTCTCATAATTGTGTGAGACCGACCATATATCTTCTCAACATAACTTCGGCGCCGGAGTTTTAAGGCTATTTCTAGGGAAGGGCTGCCTGGAGAGCGCCCTAATGGTGGCCTTTAGGTAACCCATTAGCCGAGCCCGAAAGACAAGCTAGCGATGATGCGCTAGACCAGAGAAGGCTAGCACAGGGCAGACGGGGCGCTAAACCGTGATCCCAGGTTCGCGTCGTACTGAAATATTCTCACGAACCTATGGTTGCCATAATTGTTTACTCGTATCATTTCGTTGCTGATCCCATTACTGAATTGAGTATCATGCTCAAGACCTGAAGAATATAATTGGTCGCAATCATTTCGAATGCCAATTTGCTTTGCATGTCAAGATGTGGGCGATGTGATTCTTGCACGGGCACCCAATCCTGATGTCATTCATGATGACGAAGTGCTTTGCCGACCTACATCCTTGGAGACCTTGTTGGTCTTTGGCGGTCTGGCCCACCAGCAAAGGCCTAAACTTGACAGTTCGTCATGTATACTGGACCCTTGAAGCTCAATGAGGCAAGGTCCTGGCTGCACGACCTTGCCCACTTGCAGCCAGTGGCCAATCGCTGACAGGATAATACAAGCGAAATCTCGTGGGCTGACCTTATTGGCCAATGATACACCTCATGATCGTAGCTTGATCACCATGATGAAGTCAGCACGGAAAGATACCCTTCATGAAGTGCTTGGTAGGGAGCCCGGACATTGTTCGTTCACTTCATTCCTAGACCAATCTTCCCATCATGGCATCAAGTATTGCACAGCACCCCGTGAAATCAGCGGCTTCGACCCTTGTCAATGGCAGCGATGATCCAAGAGCGGCTCAAAAATCAACCTTCTTCCAGGGTTTGAATGAAGGTCCCGGCGAGCATGCTGCCAAAATCTCGGGCCTTGTTTCTGGCGGAAAGCGACAGGACGTGAGCTTCTCCATTGATTCGCAAGTTCGAGCGCAAATGCTGATACTATCGCAGGATGCGCCTTACTTCACAAACAACGAGGGAATCCCGTGGCCTGATCCGTAAGTAAAGAGCAGGCTGCAAATAAAAAGATCCTTCTTCAACTTCACATAGATCCCACAGCAAGAATGTTGGTGGCATACCACTGATCAGCGACCCTTTCCTCCTGCAAAAGCAGCAGACCTTCAATCGGTCCAAAAATCTTGAGCGTAGGTAGGCCCATGACTTATTAGAACCGTTAAACTCATGCGCTGAAGGCATGGTACATCCCTGTGGCAGTGGAGCCTTTGGTCACTTTGAGGTCACCGAAGATGTCTCAAAATTTACTAAGGTATGTGTCATGATTTCCAGACATCTGCAACTAGGCTGAAAGCTTCTAGGCCGATTTTCTCAGCTCCGTGGGCAAGAATACCCCCTTTTCTTGCGATTCAGTACTGTCACTCTCGGTCGTGAATTTCCTGACTCAGCGCGCAACCCCCGGGGATTTGCTATCAAGCTTTATACCGGAGAAGGCAATTATGACATCGTCGGGCTGAATTGGCCCATCTTTTTCTGCCGTGATCCTATTCAAGGGCCAGATGTCATCCGCTCTCAGCATCGCAACCCCCAAAACTTCTTGATCGACAATGACTCCTTGTTCGATCTTTTGGGTTGCACTCCAGAGGCCAATCATGCGGGACTGATGTTCTTCAGCAATCATGGCACGCCGGTAGGATGGCGGTATGAGCATGGCTACGGATGCCATACCTTCAAATGGGTGAACAAGGATGGCAAATTTGTAGGACTAAGCTGCTTTAGCCCCAGTAGGTATCGCTAAAGTATGGCAGGTCTACATCAAATATCACTTCGTTGCCGATCACGGACAAAGACAATTCACTGTGGCCGAAGCCACCCAGATGTGCGGCGAAAATCCCGACTACGCAAAGCAAGATCTCTTTGAAGCGATCGAAAACGAAGAATACCCTACCTGGACTGCCAAAGTGCAAATCATGGAACCCAACGAGGCCGATTTCGACAAACTTGGGTTCGACCCCTTCGATATTACCAAGGTTTGGCCACGCGATAAATTCCCTGTAAGATTCCCAGTCTTGTGCCCATCCAGACCATTGACGTGCCATGCAGATGCATACATTCGGTAAACTCACGCTCAATAAAAACCCTGAGAATTACCACCGCGACGTCGAACAAGCCGCCTTCTCGCCTGGCTCCATGGTCCCGGGCATCGAAGACTCTCCGGACCCTTTGCTCCAATTCCGCATGTTCTTCTATCGCGATGCCCAATACCACCGTATTGGCACCAACCTGCACCAGATCCCCGTCAATTGCCCTTTCATGTCTCAATCTATGGCATCGCTGAGTTTTGACGGGCAGCTTCGGAGTGACGGAAACCATTCGGGTAATGCACAGTACGTGCCCAACAGCTTCGCCCACAAATTCCGCCCAGACGTCGCCGAAACGCCTTATACACTGAGCGACAACGTTGTCAGCAGAAAAAGCCACTTTGCCCACGAAGGAAAGGACAGCGACTATGACCAAGCGAGAGAGCTCTGGTCGCGCGTCATGGACGACAAAAACCGTAAGGACACTATCACCAATACTGTCCTCTGCCTGAAGAACGTGCGACATCCGATCATCGTGCAGAAGTTCTTGAGCCAAGCGTACAAAATTGGAGAAGGTTGGGCCAAGGGCGTCTTTGACGGGCTGCCTGATAAGACGAAGAAGGGTCTTGAGTGGAAAGATGTAATTGAGGGGGCAAAAGGCGCGGAATTGGCGTATAAGGAGAAAAAACTCCAGCCTCAGGAAGGCGATAGATTGGTTGGGTTTGACCCGCAGAATCCAGTTTACCAGCTGTTGCAGAAGTAGTGAAGATTGGAAGGTGGTGGTAGATGAGGGCTGCGACAGGTGATTGAGGCATTGGGCTGGAAGACGCGCAAAAGATTGAAAGGCGGGCAAACATAATCATTACGGCCGAGATAACGGCTGCCCTGTTATATTTCATCGATGGAAAACATCGTGCATGAGTATTTATGCGTGAATTAACATGATACATGCCAGTCATATCGCTCTCTTACATTATTGCAGCATTCTCTCGCATATTGGGTCCTTCCATCGACAGAAATCAATGACTCATTTCAGTATCACTTCTCCTTCGCCTCTACCTGAAGATTTCGATTAATGGACAACAGCTCTCATACTCAACTCTTCTTGACACAGCCCCTGAAGCGTTGCTTGTAAATGAGACTCCGTGTCCACAGGAAGTGGGTCGATTCCAAAGCGATGAGCAGAAGTCGCCAAAAGGTGCCCTATAGGTTTGTGCGGATAAGCGCAGACACGGTATAATGACAAGAATAACTGATTCTGTGCGGGTCAATTGAGTCACTACCGTGGCTTTGACAACCGCCTTCGGCGCATGTTCGACAAATTAGTCCTTCTACTCCCCTTGTCCTGCAGAAATGCTCCATGCTCGCTGATTGTCTATGACTACAATTCCACTCAATCGTTACAGTACACATCCCACATCAGCGTCCAACTCGAAAGAATGCTGCACTCACGCTACTTCCTCCTCTCCATACTCTCCCTCTCCAGCCACGCCAGGCCCCAAATCCCCTCCAACACCGCCTCCCTCTCCGACCCGGCCGCAAAAAGTGCCTACGGCTTCACCACCTACCACTGCACGGACGACCAGCACGCGCGCCTCACCAGCGTGCTCCAAGAAATCGAGCACGACATGCCCTCCGTCATCGCCGAAGCAAGCAAAGGCACCACATCCGAATACGGCTTCTCCCCGCTCTTCAAAACCAACGACAACAGTCCCGCCGTGCAAACCCTCTTCCAGCGCATCGCCAACAGCAACACCCTCAGCGTCGGCGTCATCACTTACCCCATCACCTTCGTCTGCGTCAACCTGAACGACGAATACACGATTAATAAGCTGAAGTATTGGCAAGCGCACCCGGACGTCCCCGCCGCTGGCGACAGTAGCACGAACGACATTTTCCTCTTTCCGCTGTTTTGGGAATTGGAGAGAAATCCGAGCAGGTGTCCGAAATTGAGCGGAGGGAAGGCGACGCCGAATGATGGCAGATTGGTCGATGCCCTGTATGGCGTTGTTGTACATGAGCTTGCGGATAAGTATTTGCATTTTATGGAGTCCAGACAGCAGGCGAGCGAGAGTCCGGAGTTTTATAAGATTCAGGAGTGTGTGGATTTGCCGGCTGAGAAGCAGGTTGCTAATGCGCAGAATTTTGCGATGTTTGCTTGTGGTGAGTCTTTCCCCTCTGTTGTTGGAGATATGGGTGAATTGTTGTTGTCCGGGCGCAGGGGCTAATGCTGAGTAGCGATGAAAGCGCCTTGTCATAATTTCCTTCAGTTTGAATCTGGTTGAGTACAAGGTTTGAAATGCTTGCATCGTCGTGTGGGCTTTGGTAATTGTTGAAAGCTGGGTTTAACTGTCAATTTGAATTTGCGTGATAGTCATGGGAGGCTCTTTGACATGCTGTCTTTCTTTTGGCGCAGTCCACGGATGATGGCCATGAAACTTAGAGTACAAGAGACTTCGAGAGGTATCATAGACCTGCCATGTCTCTCAAGTATGCTGAAATTGGAGAGACTGACGCCAAGAGGTGTTGGGAATATCTCCAAAAGCGGATTTCATAGACTTGTGCGTCTAGAATGTTTTTCCTGCACTTGCTTTGAAACGTCCCTTCGTTACGGCATGTGAGATGAAGGGGGAATTGAGGTTACCACTGCGTGTGAGCTTTAGCGATAATCTTGTTTATTAACCTCTCATTTACAGCCCGAATAGCACTAACATTGTCCCAAAGATTACTATTATTACTTTCTAGCTTCGATAAGCTATCATGAAATCTTAGAGGCCTTATCATCACCATCAGCTCCTTTTCGAGTCCCCCAAGCGGTCTTGAGATTCGAGACAAGAGTCAGTCCCACGAGATTCCGATTGTGAATTGAGAAGTACCTTGTGAAGTGTCAGAAGCGCATAACTTTCGACTCCTGCCCGTATATAGCTGTAGACTGCTAATACTAGGAGAACCTTCCAAGGCTCAGGGTTCGTCATCAGATGAGAGCAATTCTCAATTGCTGTCAATGCCAGATGCGATAGAATAGCACTGTAAACTCTCGTCCATCGAAAGGAAAGTCTGAACAGAACTGTTTTCAGCTTGTGCATTCAGAAAGATCATGCAATCCCTTACGCTTTATCGTCTTTGATGGAATCAGAGGACGATACGAATGTCAAGATTAGATAGCAAAAATAGAGAAAGTCCACGAGACTGAAAAACCATGTGTGATAGGCAGTCGTCCAATTGAGAAGCACGCGTCGATAGTTCCGCGTGCCGCCTTGACGAAGAACAAATCGGAAGTCTCTCCACCAGTATCTTGCATTGTTCCGAGACCAACGTACAAGTTGATTGAGATAAAGACGGTCAGCTTTCATAGTGGTCACCACCTCAACTTCCTTATCACCTTGGTACCAGGTCTTCCATCCCCGATGCCGAATCCAGCTGGTAATGAAACAGTCGTCGCCAGATTTGAGATGGTACTTCCCACGCCAATAATCTTGAGTGAAAGCTTCGTAGAACTCCGGCGTCTGCAAGCATCGCGTCTTATAAGCCGTTGTGCGACCAGAAAGGTTGAGTACATCCCCATCGTTCCAGAAGGCCGACGACGCACAGTACACATTGCGCTGGGATAGTCTTGCCGCGCCAAACATCTCCCACAAAGTGAAGGTCTCGTGATTTGGGCGGACTCTTTGGCATGTCTGAACTCCACCTGTCTGTGGATCATCCAAGCCGGCAAGTAAACCTTCCAAAGTCGCAGGCTTCCACTCAACGTCATCGTCTACGAAGACCACAATTTCCGTCGCCACTTCCTTGAGACCAACGACCATCTGCAGTCTTTTGCCTTGTTTCGGGGCCGACCGTAAAGATATGTTAGAGTCATCCAATCGTGCCAAGGTATTCCTCATCGGCTCCATCATAGCATCTGTCGTGACGACAATGATCCGGCATGGATTGCAAGCTATCCACGATCTTACCGCATTCACAAAGTTTTCGTCGCTTTCAATTGTCGGCACAACCACCGTGACATCTGCCGATGTGTAGCGTCGGTCGCCACGATATGTTCTTGACTTGTGCCGATAGAAACCATAATACTCAAAGCACGCTCTCGCTAGTCGTAAGCACCGAAGAGCACTGCCAATTGGTAAATTTCGCGCTTGCCCAGCCTTGTCGAATGGAGCTTACATGAATAACAGTTGGACCGTGCGATCAGACATTGCAGACGTGAAAGACTGATAATGTGAGAAGGATGCGCCTTACAAGCGATGTAGTATCAGAGCATTTTTGTTGCATCACTTCCAGGCCAGCTTTATCCAATTTGAGGCCGCAGTCATGAAAACGAGGAAACATAGACAAAGTTCCTTCGGCCACTTGCCAGTCATCTTGTTAGCTAGTTTGTGATAGGTGGAAAACATCGGACGAGCATCGATCGACAGATCTGCTGTGCCAATGGTCTACGCTTATGCATGTCGTACATATCGCCAAATCCACCCGAATATATGCGCAACATCATTTGTTGCGATCAGCTGGAGACGCACGCTTAGCTTGACGATCTCTGCATCTGATCCCTGAGGTGAAAGATCAACAGGTTCTTGCTGCGCATATGGAAGGATTTGCAGCTTTGTGCTAAGCTACGTAATGTATCGTTAATTGCGCACATGTGAGGCTAGAAGAGCAGGAGTAGGTTGACGCATGACGTACAATTTAGGATTTCCAGAGTATTTTCTCCCTTCAGCCTTCCTAGCTATCTTACATTGTGTTCCTGTGGCTAGTTTCAAACATTTCACGTACAATATGTTAGAGATTCGGGGCTCTGCTAGTCGTTCATCAGCAGGTTTCATTAGCACTGCAATTTCTCTTTCGCCAATGGCTAAGATTGACCAGTTCTTCATACCTCGCTGACGATATCTCTATTTGATTAATCAGCCAGACACCGTTAATCCATAAGCATGCAATTCATTGTTTTGTACGGCTTTATACGTACCCTCTCAATACATTTCAAGATCAGGGGTTGGTCATTTTGAGGGAAAGTCCCGAGGCAGTGAGCCATAGCCTATTGATGGTGAAGACGACGATGAAGATATCCATCCAAGATCTATACATAGTGTTGTTTAGTAATGCATGTGCGAGGTGTTGACCATAGAGTAAGTATTACCGCTGATGAGAATACGAGAAGATTACAAAGATTCGCATCCTTCACGCTTAGTACTAGCTGATCAAATACCAGTGACTGTACAACTACAGGTGCTTCAGCTGAAATGACTGTATAAATCTCCCAATGTGCGGACGGTACGTTCAAATGCCAGGCGTGGCTTGTGTTGGTGCCATTGCCGACTCAACAACGCGAGCGGACGACCCATGGCTGTTGCATTCCGGACATTATTCGCAATTCAGCATCAATCGAGAGATCCACGAAGCCAACGTGCTGAAAGATGGAAGATCTCCCGCAACGTTAGAGATCGTCAGAGTCGATAAACATTCAGATCCCTGCTTCGGCTGTGAATTTTCGCCAACTTAATTGAGAACGACCATTTTCGATGACCCTGATACACGATTAGCAGCCTAGCAAAGCTGCCGACCAGGTCATCCTCGTAGGAAAGGTTCACGAGTGTATGGGCGCTGGCAGCTCCTTTGTTCATATGGTAAGCGAACTAGAATTGATGACAAGCCTGACTCCAGCGGGAGAGTCAGCCGGCCGTCCTACGGAACTGATCAGCTGACTCCCGCGGCAGCAATTGGGGCTGTTCCTCCCGGCGTTCCGGACAGGAATCAGCCCTCCTTAGGCTTCAGCTGGGCGACTTGACGTGTTCTTAAGTGTTATGTGTCAGCCTCGCTAACAGAAGCGACGACCCATCTTGGACATGCCAGCAATCTCAAAGCAGCCTTCAATGTCTTCAAAATGGGCATATGTTTCATTTTCATCAGGCTTTGACCCCCATGATCTGGTTAGGCCTATTCACAGATTTCATTTTATATATTCTGCGGGCGATATGACCGCCTCACCCTCCCATGTTGTGGATGTAGGGTTCTTGGACAGAAAAACGTCCGCTTAATGGCTGACACGCCAGGCATTTCCAAGTCTATTACCCTGCGAGCATCGATAGTGGTATTTATTGCCTTACGCTAGCCTGGTGTCGCAATTGTGCCTAGTCTCTAGGTGTCATCAATTCTATATGGGGATCTTTTGATGGTCATTGTAGCCCAAGATGCCAACAAGTGGTCCTGAGGTCCGGCCCACACCAAAGATAAGCCCAACTTTCAATTATCACTGTGTCAATGGAATATGACAAATGTGAACTGAAAGGATTGATGCAATGGGAAACGCTCTACCAGCGTGATCGCCTGGACCGGCAGACCCGAGATCGTTTTACCTACTGCGTGGCTGATAGACAGCGCACCCAGTAGCAACCGAGATTTATGAATAAATCAGCTGCATGGCCTTGGCCACAGGGCTGAGGTTCGAGATCAAGCTATCGGCCGGGCTAGACGGTGGCTACTTGCGAGTGAGTGGCCGATAGGATGCCAATGCTGACAGGCGTATGCACGGGTAAGCCCTTTCAGCCAATCCATAATTGGAAAACTTGTCACTGCGCACTCGCTTATGCTTACGGCACCTTTAGCGAGCTGCAGGCCAAGAATTTGATCTGCAATTGATGATAATCCATTTTAGAACACCTGCCTTTGATAGGACTTCCTATTCTTGAACGTAATCTTATGGGTCGTATCTGTCTTTGATTAGCATTGCGCAGGGAGCTGCCCGCAACCTATGATGAGATTCAGCACGTCAGTGCAGACACACTTACCTGCTACACGCCAGGCAGCATTGTGTATATATGATGTTCTCCATCATGTTCTTGAAACTCTCCATCAACAACAAGCCCACAACCCTCAAATCAAGCAATTTCCTTTGTATTTTCTTTTGTCAATTTCCTTATCTCATTGGTCCAAAGTCAGGTTCATTTCAATCTTCAACGGTCCTTTCAAGCAAGTCAGCAAGATGTATTCCGCATTCGCAGCAGCTTTTCTCGCTCTCCTCGCCGTCTCTACCGCACACTACCAGCCCTCCCCCAGAACTTTGATGTCACGGTGGGCGCCGACAAGCAGCTCAAATTCTGTCCAGACAATGTAAAAGCGAAAGTCGGCGACACACTTACATTCTCCTTCTTCCCGAAGAACCACAGCGTCGTCCAATCAGATTTCGCCCACCCGTGCAAGCCGCTTAATGGCCACGGTGGTATCTTCTCAGGCTTCGTACCCGTCAACACCACACAAGGCCCTCAAAACTTCGTCATCACAGTCAAAGATGAGAAACCACTCTGGCTCTACTGTGCGCAGACCACCGGCAATCACTGCCAGGCCGGCATGGCCATGGTAGTAAATGAGCCGTAAGTCATGAACGCTTTTCTCATTCCCTGGACATCCTGCTAACTTGAACAGCGCCGCACCAAACACCCTCGCTCAATATAAAGAAAACGCAAAGCTCTCGGGCATCAGCGAGGTCCCACCCGCAATCGGCGGCGGTGTCTTTCAACCCAACCCCAAGGCTTCCTCTTCAGGCACTGCACCCCCATCCACCGCTACTGCACCTCCTCCTTCAGCTAGCACAGTACCTGCTGGATGCCCGGTTTGCCCAGTGTGCCCAACGGGCGAATATAAGTGGAGTCAGCCATCGACCGGAAATGGGTACAAGCGCGCTCGCGCATTTGCTGGTTGAATATAATCACGGAGGAGAAGGCAGGATGAGAGCATCTGATGCTTGATAATGACGATTGGGGGAGTTGGTGGGGATATGTGGTCTTAGAGAGAGTAGAGGAAAATTGCTGCTACTACGCTTGTGACATTTAGCGACCTTGCATAGACTGAGCGTTTTATCTCCTCATGAATCTGTTATGATCTGTAGACAGGCATTCATTCATCTCCGGACATTCTGGACTGTCTCATTGAATCTCTCTCTGCTTTCGGCCCCAAGAATTTTCTGCTTATGCTTCTGATACCCACAAACCCTGCCCCTGATGATGTTATTCGGCATCGAGAATGTGAGTCAATGGTCACAAATCGGCGAGCATTTAAGTGTCATCGGAGTAGGTGCCACCATAGATCATGAATTCCCAGATCTGGAAATCGTTGTAGTGGAGGCTGCGCTCGATGTCGTCGACTGTATTGAAGATGGCTTCGGCGTATGGTGTACGCTCCGATTTTGGCCCAAGTGAACTGAAAATAATTGCGCCGAACTGATAGAGATTATCAGGTTTTGTATGTCATGTCGGAGGGACTTGTGGACGAAAGTGGAGGTTGCTGCTCACAGAATATCCCGCGGTTGGGGAATTTGGGCTCAGCATTGGTTTGGACTAGCGTATCGGCCAAACAACGTACGCAGTTGAAAGGCTTTTGATCTTGCTGAACAAGCATTCAAAGCTCTACATAGAGACTTGCTGTCTTTTTCGCGGTTTGCTACATTGTTACGACGCGTCGAAGCTCGGGAAGATAGACGATGCCACGCTTTTAATGGGAAGACGTGGTAAAGTAACTGGCTGAATGTAGAAAAAGAAGACCACTTATACGGCTGTCACAATCGCTGAGAATGTGTCGAGTATTGATGTGGGTGAACATGAGATAAAGGAAATGTTTGCTTGAAATTCATGCAAAAATCAAACTTCTTGGCGACGTGCTTACTAATTCTTAGTGATCGCTGTGATTGGTGGACGTCGACAGCGCCAAAATGCTGTGGTCATCCCCGATAAGTAAAGGCTTGACCTGTACGAAGGTACAGCTGTATCAGACATTCCTGCCCTCAACTCCTGAAAGTCCTCATGAACACTTCACTTTATGTGGCAAAATGCATGTACTAGATGTTTGCTTTCCGCCAATGAAAAGTATGCAGCTGAAACTCCTTTCATGCAAAGTTGTATGAGTCAGCTGAATCAGACGTAACGACAAGCCCAATGGCATGAAAGAGAAGCTGATACGTGTAGTCTAAAGGTTGAACGCTGGCCATTTTGCATGCACGGCCGGGATGATACCCTTGTGGTACAAAGAAGAGATAGAACACGTTGAGTGTCACATTTTGTGGGTTTGTTTTATGTACCTTTCCGCAATATTACGTGTCATTTGACATGTGGTAAAAGAGATAAACAAATCTAGAGTGTTACCGCCGGTGCTGCGGGCCGCGAATAACACAACAGACTGTGACACTGTACTAGCACGACCTATAAAATGCCACCCGGACTCCAGATACCTTTCGCTCTTACATCTCTTTCGCCTGGTCTCACAGACAGTCAGTATTGCCACTGCCAGCATACATTCCGTCGTTCACAAGTCATGGCAATAATCAAGCGAATCGAGATGACTGTCCAGGTCGACGGTCGAGATCTCCGGGAATACGAGGACCCCGATGCGGATACAGAAAACGATGGCGAGATCACGCGATATATTCAAGCTAGCTCCGAGACACCTTTTACTCTGAGCTTCAAAGTGCCAAATGACTTTCCTCTAGACGCGGACTGTCTCAGTTTTGAGTATACCTTCGATGGAAACCTTAAGGACGACTTCCTTTGGCGAAAAGAGAAATTCAACAGTAGCAAAGGCAAATTAAGCAAAACTGTCAAAGGGTATCCTGTCTATGACAAGAAAGGATTTCGGCTGCAGGAATTCATGTTTGCCAAAATTAACTTTGGTATGTCCTCACCTGTGCTCAGGCTTCGCGCTCACAAGCTCACCAAGACTCAGGGGAGGACACAGAACTCAACCTTTATGACGAACTATCTCCTTCAGAAGTACGCAGTCTTAGCACTATAGTCTGCAAGGTATATCGGAAGGAGATCATTGGTAGCTGTACTATCGGCGGAGGGGCCGAGATTGTCAAAGATAGTGTTCCGCCAACTGAAGCGTTGATGATCAAAGAGAAAGTATTGAAGGGACAAGGCCTTACTCACAGTATTCTGTAAGAAAGGTGTATTCTGCGCTGCGAACAAGCTTACGTGTGCAAATAGGACCGGCGAAGAGATCAAAGCAAGCCCGCAGAATACCTGGCCCACCCGGCGTGTCGATAAGAAGCCGCTGGCTACGTTCACCTTCAAATATCGCTCCAATGGTAATTCAAGCCTTCGATCGCTCTCGAGAGTCTACTGACAGGCCAAAATAGAAGCTCTTCAACACCTTCACATCATTCCTCGTGAAATCCCTTTAGAGGAACGCGATATCGAGACTCTGACTAAGACAGAAATGCGTGAGCTTCTGAGGAGACAGCAAGTGAGCAAGTGACAGTTTTTTTGATAACACTTTTTTGCTAACCTATGAAGGGAAAGCAACAACATGCTCAAGCCAACGTAGTCACTGAGTGCAATCGTGACGACGAGTACAAGGCTTTATTAGCCTCGGCAAAATCTCAACAAGCTCGACGAGCACAGCCAGGACCAAATGACGAGGTCGTTGCACTAGATGATGGGGCTGTTGCGGGCTCGCCCTGGGGTTTGCAGGCTTGGGTGTCTCGGGCAAAGGGGGCATTTCAAGGTAGAGGGTAAACAATTTTGAGCGGCGACAATGGAAGAGATAGCACTTGTGCGATGAAAGCGCAAGCTATGATGCCTACAGATCAGCTGAAATAACGTGCTTTATGATTTCACAGACATTATTTTCAAGGTCATGCAATCTATTCTTCAAAAAACCTTTGACTTTCCACATAGTCCGCTTTGACATACGCGGCTCTTGTCTCCACCCTTAGCTTTGGCTAGTGATGGACTGGTTTTCCCGAATTTGGCCCCCTCGAGTGTATGCGGCTATATGTCTTGAATCGAGTTAAATGACCGAAACATATGGCGAGCGCCAATCAAACTTGATGGGGCGCAGTCGACGAACCAAGAATGCCAACATAAGCGCCCGAGACACCGCGGAGCATGGTAAACGGGATACCTTTGAAAATCAGCAGAAATGCTTCCCTTCATGAAACTAAGAAGTACAAAGACGGTCCGTCACCATTGCAAATTTTGCTTCCCATGGCCATGGAGCCTATTCCGGCGATGCACTTACGTGAAATTTGTTAGACTCGAGAAAACATCTAGAGAAGCTCACACGCCTAGCAACAGTCAAAGTAAAGCATGGTGTTAACATTCATACGCGAGAAAGGCGCAGCACCCCAGAGCCGCGCAAAAGTGAACTCAACAGTGTACTCGAAGGATCCAAGACAGTTTTTCGCCGAGAACACAACATGCATCCCTCATTGATATGCTGCAAGATTGTCTGGTTCCCATTTGTGATTTAGAAGATTCATCGTCCATCGCTCTGAGCAAAGTAACGACGCTGGACCCATTGATTGGTCTTTCAATTGTCTTTCAGAATGCTACTCCCTTACATTGCAATTGTCTCCAGGCTACTCGTTGCCCTCACAGCATTGCCGCAATCACAAAACAACCTGCAGAGTCAAGCCACATGCCCAAATCCTACGACGGCAGACCAGTCAATCATAGAAAAAGACTGCATTGACGCTACGAACATTTTCCTTGAACTCCTACCCGACGACTTCACTCTAATCAAGAAAAATGGCACGGATGCTCGACCAGGGACTTGGTTCGTACCTTCCGGATTCTGGAGTGGTGGCACTGGAACCTGCGTCCTGATTCTCGAAGTCCCTGACAGCTCCGAGCAGAAAGTATCTCGAAAGGTCCTCGGAGACGCAATGACAACTGTCGTAGCCAATTGCACGAGAGAAACAGGTCTCGAAGGAGGATACTTATTTCCGAAGGAATATCGGAATAAAGTCAAAATCACCGTCGTGTCTACAGACGTGGCATTCACACAGGCAGAATATGCATCACATTCTTTCTTTCCACAGCCAGGGGAGCCTACGCCCGCTGAGCTCAATCTTAATCCTCTGGGGTTGAATGCTACGTTGGATGTGTACTCGCCGAGTGATGTGAAAGAGAGGAATTCGACGAAGGTTCCGGGATAGATGGCAGACGGGATATCTCACTGTCTGAAAGCGCAATCAATGAGATGAGATTTTGGGATCTTTACAAGGCATTTGGTAACACAGCATGTGTCTCTTCATAAATCGGCTTGCTGAGTAATCGAGGACCAATCTGTCACATCCTGGTCATAGCCTGTTGCGGAAGCGTAATGCTGAATCGTAATCTTCTCATGAGATGAGAAAACTGCTATCTTGTTATTGTGGCCCAGTAGTTCGAAACAATTGCAATCACCCTCAGCTTGGGGATGAACGTTTTTTCATCGTGCATGATATCTATTGCGCGTCAGTTTCACAGTATAAAAGATGTGTGTCCACGTGAGGACCAGAGTGGAGCGGCCGGACTCCGAGCCCCATAAGGGACCACCTGCTAGTATTCGACGGCAAAGTTTTGTTCAAACGCTGTTTGTGAAACATTCTTCTCACATAAGAAATGTGAAGTATTTTTCATTCACTACCAAGCGTCCTTGGTCGTAGACGCAAAGCGGGTCAAGTGTCTAGACCATCCTTTTTGTTATGGCGGTCACGAAACTCACCGCTCTTGACCAGGTCATGCCGCATATATATACTCGATTAATACTTTGCTTTCCACTTGATTCCGACACAGAAGCGTCCCAGGCTATAACATTCCTCCAGCGAGGCCTAGCCCTTACTGTCTTGGAAGTACCTAACCTGAAAGCCACGGTCGTTGCAGGTACACGCAATGGCGAAGTCGCTATAAAGCAGCAGGACGGCTCTCCAGGTACACCTTTGCTGCACATCAAGTCTTTCCTGACTACAGGCACAAAGACCATGAAATCTTATGATGACTTGCGTTCCCTCGGCATGCCGACATCTGAACTTGATGGAGATTCTCTAGCCCCATTGGGCCCATTTCGAGACCCGCCTGCACCAGTTTTTGCCGCACAGGCAAACTTGATCCAAGGTGGGCTTTTGTTGTGTGTATGTTTCCATCACTCGGTCTTAGATGGCCCAGGCATAGACATCATCTTGAGGCGGTGGAGTGAGAACTGTCATGCAGTCCAGGAACCAGGGTCATGTTTCGAACTTCTACCTGAACGCAATACTGGTACTGCGGTCATCGCTCAAGGAGGAAGGCAAAGTATGACGTTGAAGAGCTTGAATGGCTATGATGTCGTTACTACTACACCACCTTTGCCCATTGGGAAATCTGAGTTCCCGGAGATGATATCGGCAATCTTCAAGATTGAGATAGAGACCCTGCAGAAATTGAAGGCGGAAGTCAACACCTTCCTGTCACAACAGAGCGATCCAGGTCAATGGGTATCCTCGAATGATGTTCTGTGTGCCATCCTCTGGCGCGCTGTAACCAACGCTCGACTTTCCTGCTCACCAGAATCTGACATGGCAAACCTCTCCCGCCTGGGCATGGCCGTCGATGGCCGCTCGAAATTGAATCCTGCAGTGACGGAGCCATATCTAGGCAACATCAACATCTGTGCGGCCGCAACAGCCGAGCTTAGTTCTCTCACATCCACTTCCATCGAGTCGCTCGTCCAAATTGCCCTCGCTATCCGTCAATCCGTGACTAGCGTTAACGACGAGTTCATTCGGCATCTCATTCACGTGGTCGATGGTATCCCTGATCTTACTTTCATTGCACCTTGCTTTAAGGTCTCTGGAATGAACTTCGCAATCACCACATGGAGGGACATGGGTATCTGCGACCTGGACTGGGGCATGGGCATTGGTGGTGGGAAGGTTGAGTTCACAAGGGTGCCGACCCCGCTATTCGATGGGATATGCATTGTTCTCCCGAAGAGATCTCGTGATGCGGCCTATGAAGTCACCTTGGGCTTGAGAACAGAGTGTATGGCAAGTTTGAAAGAAGATGAGGAGTTTAGGCAGATTGTGTCTTTCAATTCTGCGTGATGAGAGGAGCTAAAGATTGGGGCTCAGCAGGAATGATACCCAAAAAATATACAAGGTAATTACAGAGAGTCAGTGGAAGGCAGCGACTCTGGAGGATGGAACTTTAGACATTGAAAAATTTAATGTAGATGCATAGTCTCTAAGGTAACCATCCGCCAGATGTTGCAGGTTAATCATGGAACGCCGTTAGCCGTGCGCAAACTCACGAGTTTGTCGTATGATATGCTTTTGACGGAGGAAAATTGTACGCGGCTCAGGGTTAGGATTAGGTAGTGGTTTCGCGGGCAAAACAGGCAGGCTTAGCGCGTGCAATATTAACTGGCGGCTGATTAGCTGCCGGCGGGGGAGTGCGAATTACACTGTATCCCAACTACTAAGGCTCTAATTAATACAATTAAATATGCGTTTTAAAGCCCTAATCAAGCGTATTCTAACGAGCCTTTAACTATATAAATTAGACTACTATTAAGCTTATAAACTAATATGCTAATTTATTGTATAGCAGGGCCTCTACGTAGCGAAAATTTAGCTTATATATTATTAACTGCTTGCTAATTAGCTACTATAAGAAGGTTGTAAACTAGATTATATCTCAATAACTAAAGCTCCAATTAATATAATTAAAATTTTTTTTTAAAGCCCTAATTAAATATATTCTAATAAGTTTTTAATTATATAAATTAAACTATTATTAAGTTTATAAACCGATATACTAATTTGTTATATAGTAAAGACTCTATATAATCTCTGCGGCTTAGTATAAATAATATTAACTATCTATTAATTAGCTACCTATAAAAATATTTTTTTAAATTTTATTAACTATATTTTAAATAAAAATAAATGCTTATTTCTAAGCCTTTAATAAGTAGAAATAAGTAAGACTTTAATTAATTTAATATTCTTTTTCCTTTTTTGTACTAGTTTAGTATATATATTAAGTGTAGTTAATATATAAATATAAGAACTTTAAAGTTATTTTAATTTTTAAAGATTTTAAAAGTTTTAACGTAGCTAGATAGGCAAGTATTTAAGTACTTACTATAATATTAACTAAACTTAGCTTTACTTAGGTTAGTAATATTAATAATTAATTTAAAAAAGTAATAGTAATTTATAGCTAAAAAAAATATTATTATAGTAGGAAACCTATTTAGTTAATTTTCTATTATTACTTACTATAGCTAATAATACCTTTTTTTTACTTTTTTATTTATTTATTTTAATTTTATATTTTATATTTATTTTATTTAATCTTTTTTTTAGTAGTATAAAGGATTTATTTTTATTCTATATTTTTATAATATTATTATTCTTATCCCTAAGCTTTTTTTAAATTATATTAAATATATTTTTAAACTTTTATAAAATTTACTTTTCCTTTAAATATATAGGTAATATCTATTCTTTTTTAACCCTTATATTTTTTACTTTTATATTATTTTTTAACTTATATACCTAATTATCTAAGTATATATAAACTTATTATAAAAGTAATCTAAAGATAAAAGATTTTAAAAAAAAACTAAAAGTAATTAAAGAAATATTATATAAATAAAGGATAGTTTAGTAGTACTTATAATATAAATTATATAAGACTTTTATAGCAACTATATAGAGATAATAAGATTATATAAAATAAAGATTAAAAGTTATAAGTAGATTAGCTTAGGCTAATATCTTTACTATAAATATAAAAATAATACTTAATAATTATAAAGAAGAGACCCTTTCTATAAGATAAAAAAGCTATTAAAGGTTTATTAGAAAGTATATTATATATTTAAAGTTTACTTTTATAATTAAATAAATTAGCTATATTATTATTTATAATAAAAAGTTTTAGAAATTAGTTTTTATCTTTAGTTTTTTAATTTATATTTAGCTTATAATACTAGTAAAGTAACTAGTTTAGGCTACTAGCTAGCTTAGATATAATAAGTACTATAAAATAGCTTATATAGAGTTTTCTTACTAAAACTTATAATTAGAATATATATTTTAACTTTTAGCCTCCTTACTTATATATTTACTATTCTTATAATATTCTTAAGAATAGGTTATCTATTAATTTTAATAGAAACCTTAAGGGTTAATTATATTTACTACTAGCGCGAATATCGCGTATATAATAAGCTAGGCAATACTACTCTTATTTTATATTTTATATCCTTAAGTAGGCTAAATACTAACTATAGCTTTATATATATATTATATATATATTTAAATAATTATAAATACTAAACTATATAATATAATATTATTATAGCTAATATAAGTAGCTAAATAAATATATTTAGTAAATACTTTTAAAATATCTAAATAAGTATAATTATTCTAGATTTAAATAGAAAACTAGTAATTATAATATTTACTAATAATAATATATTTAACTTAAGTATAAGATATTTTATTTAGTAAAAAAGTTTATTAGGTTTTATATTATTTATTTATATTTATTATAATTATTATAGTATAATAGATACTATACTAGTATTCTAAGAAGCTAGTAGCTATTTTTAATACTTTTTAGAAATTATAGCTTCTTTAAAATAATAATAGTTTATAGATCCTAGTTACTATAATTCTATTAGTAATAAATATATTATTTATAATTAATAAAAGAAAATAATAAAATATAACTTAATTAGCTAACTTCCCTTTTTTTAAAAATATAATTAATATTTTTCTTTCTTTTTATTATTAACTCTTATCTTTTTTATATACTTTATTACTTTTAAAATAATTTTTATAGTTTTAAATTAATATTAAAATACTTTATCTTTATAATAGAAAAAGACTATAAATAGTAAATAAAAAGAAAACTATTAATATAGATTATATATAGACTTTAAAAGCAAAAATATAGTAAGTAAACCTAATATTTATTAATATATATTTAATAAGTAATAATGCTCTTTTAAATAATATTATTTATTTTTTAATTAATAGATATAAATAGTTTAATTTAAAGCTTTAAAATACAAGCTTTCTAACTATTATAAAGGGTATTTCAATAGAGAGATATAGTATATATAGTATTTATAAAACCTATAAAACTTAGTAAATATTATTTATTATAATTAGCCTAAATATAGAAATAGTAGAAATGTTAGCTATAGCTAACTTAAATAAAGAATAATTAAATAAAAAGTAATTAAATAAAGAATAATTAGATAAAGAGTAATTAAATAAAGAGTAATTAGATAAAGAGTAATTAGATAAAGAGTAAGCTTTACCTAATAACTCGTTTAATAACTTAGAAAAAAGCTAGGTAATATTAATATTTATACCTATTGCTTATAAAAATAATATATATTTACTTTCTATATATCTTTTTAAGGAAGCTTCTACCTTTTATATAATAGCTTACTTATTATTTTTAAGCTGAAGCTAAAATAAACTTTTATTTAAACCTATTAAAAAGTAAGAAGCTAAGATTTAATTTAACTAAAGCTATTAATTCTTTTATACTTACTATAAGTCCCTTTAATTATATTATATTTCCCCTATTTTATTAACCTTTAATTAAGTTATATATAGAATATGCTCTAAGGTTTAAATTCCCTTACTAAGATATTAAATGTCTAGAACTATAAACTTTTTCTATTAATTACTATTTTAATATTATAGGTTTATTTACCTATTCCTTTATATTATTTAAAGATACTATAATATAATTTAAATTAGCTAAATTACTATAGTTCTTAGTAGTAACCTTTATTTATAAATAAAGCTTAACTATTATAGCTTAATTTCTCTAAATTTTAAAACTATTTTTAAAACTTAATTAAATATAAAAAGCTATAAATAAAATGCGTCTAGAATATTAATAATATAATTACTTATATTATAATATTAGCTATATATTATAATAGCTTTATACTTATATATTCCCCCTTTTCCTTTAATAAATTTAATAAAACTAGAAAGTTATATTTAAAAGGGTTTTTATTTATAAATATAAATACTTATAGCTAAGTTATAGAATTTCTAATAATAGTTTTAATATCTATACTTATATAGTCTTCCTAAATATACTCATTTTACTAAAAAAAACTATATACCTAAGTTATTCTAAATAATAGATTTAAATTAGCTAAATTATATACTTTACTTTTCTTGCTAGCTATAATTTTATTACTTTATAATATTATCCTAAGAACTTTATATAAGCTTTAGATAAAGTAATAGCTTTATAAAAAGTATATAAATATGTTTTAAATTAAGTAATTAATATAAAGAAAAGTATTCCCCTATATATTTTCTATAACTTCTAGGATAATATATTTAAGTATATATTTTATCTTAAAAACTTTACTTCTTTAATATTACTTTTAATTAGCTATAACTTTAAGTTATATATTTAAAATTATATACCTTTAATAGCTAAAGCTAACCTTTTAGCTAAGTTAGAAAAATATTATAATTAAAGTTATAATACTATACTTTAAGCTTATATTTAAATTAATTTTAATATTAAAAATATCCTAAGTTATTATAATATTACTTTCCTACTTAAGATAGCTTATTTAGCTTTATAAGCTTAGTACTTCTATATATTTAGCTCTACTAAGTATTAGTTTTATTTTAAACTATTTATAAACTAGTATTTATAATAACTAATATATAATACTAGTTCTATATTAGTTAAACTTAATATTAAAAATATTATATACTTTAATAGTATAGTTTATAATAAAAAATATATTATTAAAAAAGAATAATATTTAATACTTTTTAAAAATTATAATTTATTTAATAATTAAAATTTTCTAGTACTTATATACTTTTAGCTATATATTAATTATTAATTTAGTCCTATATAATTATAAGTATATAAGCGAAAAATTTTTATAAGTATTTAAGAAAAAACTAAAACCTAACTTACTAAAGAGCTTAAAAATATAACTAGTTTATATAAAATCTATTAAGAATATTATATTTAGGTTAACTTCTTTAATATACTTAACCTAAAGGACTAATTAAAAGACTATTAT